CTGGTGAAATAATTTATTACATGGAACCTTAAAGTGGTCTGTTTTTATTTAAATTATTTGCTCTGGATTTACATTGAGCTCTCTGGATTTTAACCCCTTAGGTTTACCCATACGGATTACCTAGTTTTTCATAAACTAACTAACTAAAACTAACTAACTATATATATATATATATATATATATATATATATATATATATATATATATATATATATATAAAAAAAGAAGAGAGTGCCGCAAACGTTTTTGGTTTGTAATGTGGATTTATTTAGAAAAAAATATTATGCTTTGTTTTACATAATTTTACGACACGTGTTTCTGGTCTCGCGACCGTCTTCAGGTAAAAGTGGAGATTTCTACATATTATTAAAAATAATTAATTTTTCTTCATGTTCAATGTGAAATATTCTCGATATGAGACATTCTCTGTTTGTGTGTTGGTAATCCGAATTTTATTCTGTGTGTGTGTGTGTGTTTCAACACTTCTGCTGTCTTCTTAAGTGATGGTGTTGAATGTAGTATTTTACATTCAACATCATTACTTAATAAGACATCAGAAGTGTGGAAACAAAATGGCTATTTTTGTAGTGATATTATAACATGTTTATATTATAATTTTTGAATAATATTATTTGCTCTACTCAGTATTGAGCACTCTTTTAACACTGGTGTTTTTAGTTATTGGAATTTTATTCCGTCTACACCAATCCTGTACATATATATATATATATATATATATATATATATATATATATATATATATATGTGTGTGTGTGTGTGTGTGTGTGTGTGTGTGTGTGTGTGTGTGTGAGGAACTGAAACAAGGGGTCCAGAAGGAATCCCTGAATTGCCATGAGGTGCCAACCTGGCCATGTGCCCAATGCAATCGGATATGTCTGTCCAAGTCGGCTATGCTCAGTCATCAGCAGTTACACCAACACCGTCTATTGTATATGACGATTTCGTAATGGCATGTTTTGAATGCCCAACCTGAAATAGGGTGTTCAAGTCTCTCTCTCTCTCTCTTTCTCTCTCTCTCTCTCTCTCTCCATATATATATATATATATATATATATATATATATATAAACATTAAATTTTTACATTGGCCACACAAACTTACGTGGGTTGACTTGCACCTTGTCACTTTCGAAATAAATTCAATTCGTGTACATATCGGTAATCTCTTCTAAAACAACCGAAATAAAATTATCAGTATAAGTAAATAAGTACATAATACGAACATCTAACATAGCACTCATTGCATGGAAAAACCTTAAATTATAAACGCTATTATTATCGAAAATGTCCATATTAAATATCTTTCATCACAGGGGAGGTATCTTAAAATTTGTATAAAATATTTAATATGTGTGTATTACAATAATAATAAAAACACAGGTCAAAAACAAATTTATTGATGTGGTTATGAATCATATCGATCATTATATACGAGTATACCTGTTTACTAGGGCGGCTAGCCAATCCCTGTTGCAGACGTATACTCAGGCACATTTTGTGTTTTTCAACACCCACAGAACCAACCAGCGGTTTATACTGCAACAATACTTATCGAACCTTAGTTACAAAAATGAGCGCATTATTTGGCTGAACAAGGCCAGTATGAGTAAACCCTCGGTCACGATGACATGTGACTTTGTGCTAGCACAACCATCGAAGGATCCAAAATATTTCTGTCTACCCAATTTCATTCACAAGTCTTCCGTCAACCCGTGGTATGGTTTTCAGGAACATTCCAAACGTGCAACATGCTGTGATCGCCTCCCCAGAACGCTAAGAAGACACCGCGATGAGATTCGAACTCGTGCCTCATCGTAGGAAAGCGAACATTCTAACCAATCGACTCATCGACATGACAGTCTCTTGCGGATTGTAATGTATATTAGAAGAACTTAAAAAATATATCAAAATACAAGGATCTTAATGTGTAAATCTCAAAAATGTGGCACATGAGGACATCCATTTATAGATGGAACACTCGGATTGATTGGAAAAGGTTCCGATTGATTCATTTTAGGTTTTCTATGCCTTAAAGAAATACAAGAAAATGTACTCACAAGTACAGATCACACATTACGAAGTGCTTTATTTCTGTAAGCAGTGAATTACAGAAATGAATGTCTTGATGGAGAAAATGAACTTTTGTCTGTAGTTTTCATTTGTTTTTTTTATCTTTTAACATGAATCTTTTTAATATATATATATATATATATATATATATATATATATATATATATATGGCACGGCAGAAATACCTCCGTAAATAACTTCCATATAAAAGTAAGACATTAGTGACAACGGTGTCTTCATCTAGCTAATATTTTGCAATTATGTGACAGGTATTTCTGAGGTGGAAGGTATATGCGGATGGTATTTCTGTCGCAGCCTCTCTCTCTCTCTGTCTCTGTCTGTCTGTCTGTCTGTCTGTCTCTCTCTCTCTCTCTCTCTCTACATATATATATATATATATATATATTTCGTTTATGTGCTATTTTCATACATGCAAATATTTAAATAAATGCTTTGTTTATAAAAAACAGGATTAAATACATTTATTAATTATTTATTTACAGAGAATTGACTTAAAAATAAAATGATTATCATACTTTCATATATATATATATATGTGTTAGGAAGTGGATTAATACTAACCTTTCCGCTTCCATGGTTTCTACCTTTTATGATATCCTCAGGCAGTAGGATGTGTTATATATATATATATATATATATATATATATATATATATATATATATATATATATATATTATTATGGACTCTCCCGTCGTTTTCAACGTATGAGCGTCTTTCAGTCAAGTTTTTATGTTTATGTCTCATATGAGGCAACAATCCTAGACGGGATTTGTAAACAAGTCCTCACGAGGGAGATGCTGAAGGGTTCACCGTCATGTGGGCTGATGTATTGGCTTGAGATTTAATTGCTGGTCCTTAATTCTTTTTGATGGTAAAGACGATTCTTTTAAAGTTAGTTATACCTCGGTGGCAGGTGTTTGCTCGGTTTTCAACAGCGATTCTGAACTCCTCTATAGTGATATTTGCAGTATTTAAATTATATTTGAGTTTGTTCTTGAAGCGTAACCAAGGACATCTACATTACGCTGACAAAGTTGGCTATACATGAGAATTTTCGACATCCGATCATCACTCATTCTGATGAGATGACCAGACCACCTGAACTGTGATTGCATCACAGAGGAGATTCAATAGCATCTTTGATGAAAAAATCAGGCTTAGAGATTTTGTCCTGCCGTGTATAACCGCATATTTAATGAAAACAGCATTTAGGAAAAGCATCAAGTTGTGCATCCTGTATGGCGTCCACGATTTATGACCCATAAAGTGTGGTGAGAATGAATACTCGATAAATACAGATTTTCGTTCTCAGTGAAATCACACAAACATCCCATAGGCGATGCTTAAGCTTTTTATATATATATTATTTGGTAACCCGTATGGATAATTCCAAGGAGGATGTAATCCAGAGAGCTTTATCTAAAAACAGAGCAAACATCAATTATATAAGGAATCGGACAATTTTAAGTGTTCAAGGGATTATAATTTATTTCCTTGGGACCGAGATTTTGGTACAAAATCTTCAGATCTCTTTTCATACAAAGGTCATCTATATTTTTTTTCTTTTCTCGATCACTTATAATCCCATAAACCATTAAAGTCTGTTTCTTAATATAATTTATATATATATATATATATATATATATATATATATATATATATATATATATATATATATATATATATATTATAAACCTTTAAATTCCTTGAGGTACACAGGGCTGCAAGATATTTTTAAATGAGTAGGTTGTTAGGCTACTGCAAAACCCCCAACCTGGAGGATGCAAGTTTTGAATTCAGAGTATCCTTCTTCTAGACCAGTTGTCATCCAAGGCTATAGAAGACTGTCTGTCCTGCTATTTGCCCATAGCTTAGAGGATTCATACCTTTCCCAAGGGAATTCGAACTCGGCTCACCGATTCTTCAATCCGAGCCGCTATCCATTACCCCACCGTGCGTAATGGAGAGTTCTCAATACCAGTGCCAGCGCCAACGGATTCAGTTTTATGGATATGAGTTCGTGACCCTGGGTTTCACGCTTTTGCGATCATCAGACAAACTCGTAAAAAGCCAAAAAGCGTCAAACCCAGGGTCACAAACTCATATCCATACAACTATATATATATATATATATATATATATATATATATATATATATATATATATATATATGGAAAAATATTGTCTTAAAAGGTGTACTGTATTTATGGGATAAAGTGCTCAATATCAGAGATAAAAGGCGTATGTAAATATAAAAGTGAACATTGAAGTTAACACTTAGAGGCGACAGGCTGTTTCATGCTAGACGCAATCGTCTGCCACGGTGCGTCTAGCGTTGCTTCAATGTTCACTATATATATATATATATATATATACATATATATATATATATATATATATATATATATATATATATATATATATATGATAAAATATAGTTTTAAGGTATGCTCTATTCATGAGTTAAAGTGCGACAGAGCGTATGTAAATATAAAAGTGGACATTCAGGTTAACACCAAACAATCTTCATGAGATTATGTTTAAGCAGAAGACAAACTGATGGCGCTGGGTGTTGACCTTAATATCCACTTTAATATTTACACACACACACACACACACACACACACACACACATATATGTATAAATTTATATGTTTACCCTCACTATGCGTATACACTTGGATGTATGTACGTATGTATGTATGCGTTTCGTGTATGCGGATTCCACACTTGCAGATGTACGTTTTCAGCCTGCTTTATTATCGCCATCTTTCAAATAATTGAGTCATCTCGTAGCTCGTGAAAAGAACGATCCAGCCAGTCAGCTAGCAGAATATCCATCTGCACAAGTAAATACCGCCATGTACCAAAGAGAAGACCCAAGACCAATGAATAGCCGAGAGGTGGCGTATGGACTGTCCGGAACGCTGTAACACTGGATGCAGCCAATGAAGTAGTTTTGTCTGTTTCATTCTTTTTTATTTATTTATTTTTGTTTTCGCCCAGTCTCCCTTTATCATTTACATATTTCTTTCTTTCTCTCTTTTTTGGCAGGTTTTTCTTTTCCTTACCCTTTCTTGTTTTTCATCTTTCTTTCTGCAATAAAGGATTGTTTCATTTTAAAGTTCATTTTCTTTCTTTCTTTCTTTCTTTCTTTCTTTCTTTCTTTCTTTCTTTCTTTCTTATAGGTCTTTTCTTTTTATTACTTTTCATAGTTTTCTTTTTCCTTTGTCCTCATTAGCTGTTTTTGTTTATTGATCCCTTCTTTCTTTCTTTCTTTCTTTCTTTCTTTTATGCAGGTTTTTCTCTTTCCTTGCCCTTTTTTGTTCGTTATTTTTCTTTCTTCAGTACAAAATTGATTCATTTTTAAAGTTAATTTTCTTTCTTTCTTTCTTTCTTTCTTTCTTTCTTTCTTTCTTTCTTTCTTTTCTTCTCACTTTTAACAGTTTTCTTTTCCTTTTTCATATTTTCTTTCTTTCTTTCTTTCTTTCTTTCTTTCATATACTGTCTCACTTTTAATAGTTTTCTTTTTCATATTTCCTTTCTTTCTTTCTTTCTTTCTTTCTTTCTTTCTTTCTTTCATTCGTCCCTACTCTCTTTTTTCTTTTTTACAATATTTTTGAATACGAACATAGATTAACTTCTTGCCTATTTCCGCACTCATTCATATTTTTCTTCCTTTTTCTTATAATTCTAATTCTCCTATTTTTCTTTCTTTTTTTAATATTTTTGGATATACACATAGATTAAACACTTGCATATTACATAATCTTGTTTTTGTCTTTCTTTTTCTTTCTCTCTTTCTTTCTTTCATGCAGGATTCTTTGCATATTCTTATACTCTTAGATATTCTTTTGTTTTCCTTCCTTCCTTTTTTTTTCATTCACTGATTATTTCCCTTTAATACTTTCCATTTTATCTTCTTTTCGTTACATTTTTGTACTAACCCCCTTTCTTTTCTATTATTTCTTTCCATTATACAATTTTCAGTTATTTTTTCTAGTTCTTTCTATTTTTCATTTCTTTCTGTTTCTTTCTCTATCATTTTTCAACATGGTGGAAATCAAGGTGGTTCTCCACTTAAGGAGGCCATGTCCGCTTTTTACATTTTTTCACTTTCAATGTTCATCTCACTTCAGCTTCTGCTTTTTCTCATTCACTCACCAGACGGCGTCCTCCCAACTGATGGTTCTTCGTGACCTAAGATTGGCACAATGGCCCGGAAGAAGTGCGTAAATAAGAAGCAGACAAAACGAAAAGATAAAAATCGCGGCAGAATCCAACAATATGAGTTTATAATATTTTAGAGCTCCCTCTTTTCGCTATTATCTCTTTTCTGTTTTCTTCCTCATCGAAATTCATTCATTTTGCTTTTCTTCTTGCTTTATATTCTTTCTAGTTTTTCATTCTTTCTTTTTCTCTATTTCTTTCTTTCTTTCTTTCTTTCTTTCTTTCTTTCTTTTTGCTATATTTCGTTTTTTACACGTTCATTATCGTTTTTCTTTCTTTCTATTTTTCTTTCTTCTTTATTGCTATAATTGGTTTTCTTATTCTTTCTCTCTCGTTTTTCTTACTTTCACTATATTTTTCTTTCTTCTTTTTTTCTAAACTTCGTTTGATTATATTTTCTTTCTCGTTTTTCTTTTACTCTCTCTCTCTTTTCTTTCTTCCTTTCTTCTATAATTCGTTTTCTTATTTTTTCTTTCTCGTTTTTCTTTCTTTCTCTCTACTTTTCTCTCTTCCTTTTTACTATACTTCCTTTTCTTATTCGTTCTTTCTCGTGTTTTTGTTTCTCTCTATCTTTTTTTTCTTCCTTTTTTGTATATTCTGCTTTCTTATTCTTTCTTTCTCGTTTTTCTTTCTCTCTATTTCTTCTTCGTTTTGTTATGTTTTTGTCTCGTTTTTTTTATTTCTTTCCCTCTATTTTTCTTCCTTCACTATTTTCTTTACTTCATTTGGTTATTCTTTCTTTCTTTCCTTCTATCTTTTTTTTTAACTACCATCTTTCTTGTTTTTCTTTCATTCTCTCTCATTCTTTCTCCCCACTCTCTCTTTTGTCTTTAATTTCTTTCTCTCTTCCTAAATTTTCTCCTTCCATGTATATTTTAGTTTTCTTTTTCCTTTGTCCTGATTAGTTGTTTTTGTTTGTTGATCCCTTCTTTCTTTCTTTATTTCTTTCTTTCTTTATTTCTTTCTTTCTTTACACTTTCTATAATCTCTTCTTGTTTTTTTTCTTTATTACCTCTCAACATATCCCCTTAAACAGCACTTATTACCTTCTCCTGTTGCATGCAACAACCTCATTCTGTAGCACTCTACTTTGAGTGGCTCATGGGTCTTGTATTGGTTGAACAATTAGTAAAAAACGTTATGGTAATTCACAGTAAAAAGTCATTCATCACATCTCTGAACATTAATGGTAATCTTAGCCGTTTTCTTTAAGAAAATATACGGCGTTTATTGAAAGAGCAGTCAGTGTTGTTTTCGGATGAAGTTTCTAACATTTTTCTCTTAAAACATTTTTTCAGGAAAATAGATTTTATCAAGTAGAATAGCTGTTATTGCTCTTTCTAATATTAATGGGGCTTTGTTTTTTTTTATGTATCTATCTATCTATCTATCTATCTATCTAAAAAACCAACTATGTTCGAGTGATCAAGAGACAACTTGCCAGACGACCTCATACCTTAGAGCAGAAAAAATCCCGAAAAAGGAAAGAAAAAAAGTCCAAAATGCAAACACCTACCCATGCAGTAAATTGAAGTGCTCAACTCCTAGATTATCTAGACAGAGCAAATAACGGTTCACAACGTCAACGAATCTCGAATCGCCACTCAAGTTTCACGCTCTCGCGATATTCAGGAGACTAGAACGACTATATATATATATTCTTTCTATGCTCTCTCTTTCTCTATCTCTCTCTCTCTCTATATATATATATGTGTGTGTGTGTGTGTGTGTACGAATAAAAAGGAACATATATATATATATGTTCTGGTACGGAAGTTCTAGGGAAATGGTAGTGCCGAGAACTTTTCTCTTTTTTACGTTACGCTCTTTTGCCGAGGTCTAATTGTTCCGTTGCCATCTAGAATGTTTGGGTACATTTGGAAATTTATTCAAGTGGTTTGGATTATTATTTTTCAGGAGACTAGAACGACTATATATATATATTCTTTCTATGCTCTCTATCTCTCTCTCTCTCTCTCTCTATATATATATATATATATATATATATATATATATATATATGTATGTGTGTGTGTGTGTGTGAATAAAAGGAACATATATATATATATGTTCTGGTACAGAAGTTCTAGGGAAATGGTAGTGCCGAGAACTTTTCTCTTTTTTACGTTACGCTCTTTTGCCGAGGTCTAATTGTTCCGTTGCCATCTAGAATGTTTGGTTACATTTGGAAATTTATTCAAGTGGTTTGGATTATTTTTTTTCTTAGATATGATGATATTTCTGTAATTCGATTTTTAGCCGCATAGATATTTGCCATTTTGTAATTATAGTTGGTAAATACATTCTATGTATTCGGTAGCTACAGTCAATGCAACATCTTCATTTAGCCTATGCATTACAAATGCCCATATCACCAAAAAGACCACTACTGACTGCCAGATGTTTGCGTTTGGTGTTAGACCCAAGAAATTGTTTTTCTTAGTCTTTGGATTGCGCACCGGATCATGTTGAATATATATATATATATATATATATATATATATATATATATATATATATATATATATATTTACTCCTATTTAACAAAAAAGGATTCGGGAAGCCGTCTTCTATCGTGTCCGCTGACGTAATACCCTCTACTTTCCGATAGGAAACGAAAAGGCGTACATAATTTCTCAAATTTCTTTAATCCATTCGATCCAAGGAAAATTTTGATATTATTTTATAGAAATATTATTCTACTGCTACTATCGTATCTGAATCATTCGTAAATTTCCTCTAAATGTTTGGAAACAGGAAACTGTTAAACTCTGCAAAATTGTAAGTCAAGAGGATGATCCGTTCATTTCAATGGCAAATTCTTCTAAATATGCATCATTTTATAAGAACGCTGGCCTCACACACACACACATACATATATATATATATATATATATATATATATATATATATATATATACGTGTGTGTGTGTGTGTGTGTTTGTGTGTGTGTTTTTAGCATGTCATTATTGAGGCATGTGTTTATAAAGGCAATGGAACTTTTCCGTTTAATAATCTTTTTTTTCCCAGTTTTTCTTGCTTTCTCGCAAGTTTTTTAACATTTGGGTTTAAGTTGTTGAAATAAGACTCTAGTCCAATTTGTTTTGCCGAGCGCTTTCGGTTATCGTCTGCCGTCATCATGGCTGTAGGTTTTCGTTTGAAATAGGATGCTTATTATTTTAGTTTTATAGGTAATATTTTAGTATTGAGACAATGTTATTGGATTAGTTCATCATTAATAAGTAGGGAGTTGACGTTTATTATTTGGAGGATTAGTTATTAAATATGTTTAAGATGTTTCTGCCAATATTAAATGCTATTTTATTTATCTTTGGTTTTTGGTTTTTAATTTGGATGGCTTCAAGAATTTGTAATCGTTTTTTCCATTTGTTTTTATAGAGGATTTTGGTGTTGTTAATTAAGATTTTTCTTCTTTGGGATGATTTGAATGTGTTCGTGACGCAGTGTGTTCTTCAAGATGATGTAATTAAGGTGATATGTGAGCCTACGTGAGAGAGTTGTGGTTGTGTGTCCGATGTATGTGTTAGGGTTATAATTGTGAGAAACACTCTCGATTATAAATTCTTGAAGCCATCCTGTATGTACGTATGTATATCTATTTAATGGTTTCACCTCAAGCAAGGCAATAATGTCACTACAATGCAAGGGGTTACTGAGAGTGAAAGAAAATGAGGAAACACTAGCGAGGAGAATGGGACAAAAAGAACAGGATTCAGGAAAGCAGAAGATAGCGATTCACCTTACCTTTAACATTTCGAATACCGTAGATGGCAGGGAAGCAAGCAACTGGAAGAAGCATTCCACAAGATAAAAGTACGAGATAAAATATTAGAATAGAACTTACATGTAATCATTTCAACAGTAAAGCGATGACACCAACTTGCCAAACTAGTAGTAGACTTCAATTCATGCGGTTGAGGTTTAGAACAATATATATATATATATATATATATATATATATATATATATATATATATATATATTATTTTATAAATAAATAAAATCTATGCCTGAGGATGGTAAATGTTTTTACTGAAAGTACTTGTAAGCAATATGGACTGAACATCTAATCCATTGTGCAATTTGTAAAAACAAGGATTGTGTCGTTCAGTGAGTGATCACTAAGTTAATGCCTTCATAATCTGTTAACGAAGTGAGTTCACCATTAATAACATTAACTTTATTCATCCTTCTTCTATCCTGTACAATTATAAGAGCCTGATCAGAAGTACGGCAAACTATAATTGGGCAGGAACTTCCCAGTCTTCCTACTCCACTTTCGATAGAATCAACTCTTGATAGATTCCCCGCATCCTTGTGGGTGATGAATTATTTCTCGCTATACAACGCCTTTCCTACAGACGAAACATTACGAGCCTCTCGCTGCACTATCACTATTTCTATAGGAAGTGTTCAGAAGAATTACATTCTTTAGTTCCATTAGTTCTATCCTACACGGCTAAAAGCCGCCATGTCACGTATATTGTAGCGAACCACCTTCATTCCCTTCATATACCGTTGGTGGGATGTAATTTCCACTCAAGCTGCTTCTTCCCACGAACTGCTGCTTTGTGGAAGCGACTCACAAGAATATGTTTCCCCGATCAGTACAGTATTAACCTGTTCAAGTCTAGGGTTAACCGTTATCTTCCCTACATGCCCCCATAAACTGTGACTCTTATTCTCTAATCCTCTACCTCGAGTGGCTCTTGGGCCTTGTACAGTAAGAACAGCGTTTTAAGAAAAATAAAAGTCAAGTGGATTATTCGGATACTCAGCGTCCTACTTTTCTTTGTACCAACATTGCTTGCCTATCACTTGACTGTAACCAAATGACCGGCGTTGGATTTCTGCCTTTTGCACGTGTGAAGTTTGATATAAGGACACGCAGCCTCAATTTGAACGCGTATCGGTGATTTTGTTTTCAGTCACATGGGTACGAGAGAGAGAGAGAGAGAGAGATTTTCAGTGTTTTCAGTCACATGGTCACGAGAGAGAGAGAGAGAGTGTTTTCAGTCACATTTTGAGAGAGAGAGAGAGAGAGTGTTTTCAGTCACATGGGTACGAGAGAGAGAGAGAGAGAGAGTGTTTTCAGTCACATGGGTACGAGAGAGAGAGAGAGAGAGAGAGTGTTTTTCAGTCACATGGGAGAGAGAGAGAGAGAGAGAGATGTTTTCAGTCACATGGGTACGAGAGAGAGAGAGAGAGTTTTTTTTCAGTCACATAAAATAGAGAGAGAGAGAGAGAGAAGAGAGAGAGAGAGTGTTTTCAGTCACATGAGGTACGAGAGAGAGAGAGAGAGAGAGAGAGAGTGTTTTTAGTCACATGGGTATGAGAGAGAGAGAGAGAGAGAAAGTTTTCAGTCACATGGGTACGAGAGAGAGAGATGTTTTCAGTCACATGGACTGATGAGAGAGAGAGAGAGAGAGAACAGTTTTTAAAACATAGAGAGAGAGAGAGAGAGAAGTGTTTTCAGTCACATGGGCATGAGAAAGAGAGAGAGAGAGAGTGTTTCAAGTCCATGGGTGAGAGAGAGAGAGAGAGCAAAAATGTCACGGAGAGAGAGAGAGAGAGAGAGAGAGTTTTTCAGTAACATATAACATGAGAGAAGAGAAAGAGAGTGTTTTCAGTCACATGGGTGAGAGAGAGAGAGAGAGTGTTTTCAGTCAAATGGGCAAAAGAGAGAGAGATTGGAAAGGAGAGCTAAAAGAGAGAGAGAGTTTTCAGTCACATGGGTGAGAGAGAGAGAGAGAGAATGTTTAGAGCCGACATGGGTACTAAGAAGAGAGAGAGAGAGAGAGAAAGTTTTCAGTCATGGGTGAGAGAGAGAGAGAGAGAGAAAGAGCAGAGAAAGAGGTCACATGTTGGAGAGAGAGAGAGAGAGAGAGTGTTTTCAGTCACATGGGTGAGAGAGAGAGAGAGAGAGTGTTTTCAGTCACATGGGAGAGAGAGAGAGAGAGAAGAGAGACAGTTTTCAGTCACATGGGTGAGAGAGAGAGAGAGAGAGAGAGAGAGTGTTTTCAGTCACATGGGTACGAGAGAGAGAGAGAGAGAGAGAGTGTTTTCAGGACATGGGTACGAGAGAGAGAGAGAGAGGAGAGAGGAGAGAGAGAGATTGTTTTCAGTCACATGGGTACGAAAGAGAGAGAGAGAGAGAGAGAGAGAGTGTTTTCAGTCACATGGGTACGAGAGAGAGAGAGAGAGAGAGAGATTGTTTTTCAGTCACATGGGTATGAGAGAGAGAGAGAGAGAGTGTTTTCAGTCACATGGGTAGGAAAGAGAGAGAGAGAGAGAGAGTGTTTTCAGTCACATGGGTAAAAGAGAGAGAGAGAGAGAGAGTGTTTTCAGTCACATGGGAGAGAGAGAGAGAGAGAGAGAGGTTTTCAGTCACATGGGTACGAGAGAGAGAGAGAGAGAGAGAGAGAGTGTTTTCAGTCACAAACGAGAGAGAAAGGGCGAGAGAGAGAGAGTGTTTTCAGTCACATGGCACAGAGGAGAGAGAGAGAGAGAGAGAGTGTTTTTTCTGTCACTTGTGTGAGAGAGAGAGAGAGAGAGAGAGTGTTTTCAGTCACATGGGTACGAGAGAGAGAGAGAGAGAGAGAGTGTTTTCAGTCACATGGGTACGAGAGAGAGAGAGAGAGAGAGAGAGTGTTTTCAATGCATGAGGAGAGAGAGAGAGAGAGAGAGAGAGAGTGTTTAAAAAGGATTTTCTCTTTTCTTTTTTTTCTTCCTTGGTGAACGTTTTATGGAGTGTCATCTCTTTTAATGCTTCGACAAAAACTTAAACCTTTCACCTGTCAACCTACGCTCTAAACGCTAAGATACACCTGCAAGTGACAGCTTATAGACTCGCATCTTCCATAAAGAAATAAGGGAGAGATGTTTATGTCAATCCTGCAGTAAAGACTCACAAATAAATGATGAACCTAGAAAGTTCTTATGGTCTACTCTCTTACCATCAACCGGTGACTCACTCAGGCATAAAACACTACAACAGAAAGTCACAACAAAAAGAACACACACACAAGCGCACACACACACAAGCGCATTCACAAACTGATTAATAAAACATATATAAACACGTGTTTTTAAGGATATGTGTGTTCATATATATATATATATATATATATATATATATATATATATATATATATATATGAACAGTAACACCAACTAATATTGGAAAGGGGATAAAAAATTAATCTCTTTATTTCACCCAAGAAAATAACTAGAATTATCTATTCTTCAAAAGACAGTGGTTTGAAGAATATTTAAATTCTGTATCCAGAAAACAACAACAACAACAGCAGCAGCATCAATAATAATAATAATAATAATAATAACAATAATAATAATAATAATAATAATAATAATAATAATAATAAAATGGTGACATCTTCTATTTCTGGCCAGCGCCGGTTACAGAAATAGAAGATGTCACCATTCTATGGGATTATACCATCCACACAGACAGAAAAATTGAAGCAAATAGGCCGGACATTATTGTCAAAAACCAGAAAGAAAAAACTTGCCTACTAATTGATATGGCTTTGTCCAGCGGATTGTAACATAGCAACCAAGGAATTTGAAAAACTATCAAAATACAAAGACCTGGAAATTGAAATAGAAAAAATGTGGAAATTGAAAACAAGAATAATACCAGTGGTAATAGGTGCACTTGGAATTATAAAAATGGAACAAAACAACACATTGAAAGAATCCCTGGAAACCCCAGCTAAGAGACATACAGAAAATTGTCTTATTAAGTACAGCACACACACTAAGGAGAACTTTGTCTATGTAACGCTAGCAACTTCATCGGAGATAAAAAAAAAAATTAACATGAAATGTCGCCATAACAACACACCACGACCTGCCTTAGGTCTTTCCGCAGACTTGGTAGGTAGTGTGTCCATAAGCAGAAATCGAATGATGATGATAATAATAATAATAATAATAATAATAATAATAATAAGCTTCTAGATCTCCTATATGGATGTATCAGTGCACTACAGAGTGAGGACGAAAGAAAACGAATAATAGAAAATACCAGGACCTCGCCCGAGATCCGAGAATACTACAAAAAAAAGGAAATTTCGGTGGTTCCTAAGAGGTTGAAGGAATGTTTTATTAATGCCCTGAAAAGTCAAATAGAAAAGAATCAACGTAATTTCGAAAAGCGTGATTTATTTTATTTTAAAGCGTGATTTTATTTTATTTATTTATTTTGATTAAATACTGTTTGAGTAAATTTCGGCAAAATGCGAAATACTGCTTCAACATTGTCTCAGGATGAGAAATAAAGAAATCAAGACATTTAAAAGCCTCTATTCCAGTCAGTCAGTTATGTGCCATGCGTGATACGCGCTTAGGCGATCATGTATCTTTCGATACATGACGAACGAGGCAGATTTTTCCCTGCAGTAGGCTGCCATTTCTTTCTGCAGTAGACCAGTTGCGATCTAAAGCTACAGAACCCGGTGGAGGTAGAAGAAGAGAAATGTGAAAACCAAAGAGAAAATCCGGGGAAAACACACAAAGTAGCCCCCACCCCACGCACACAGACGCGCAGGCATCTTAAATGAAGAAATTGCTAAAAAATTTTTGGTTTACGTAAAAGAAAGTCAAATACCAAACGTTTGTTCATTACTCATAGCTCTCCAACATGGCACCTCGACTGTCACACTCGATCAGTTACGACTGAATTGTGAGTTCGAATCTCTCAGGGTTCCCCAAAATTCCGGCCTTGTGCCATGTCTAGGCTCCACTTAAAAAATTACCATAGATCACCAGACATGTTTTCCTAGTCTACGGTATTTAAGCAAGATTGTATTAAACAAAAGTTAACATGGTTCTATTAACAAAAGTTAACAAGGTTGTATTAAAAAAAGTTAACAATTTTGTATTAAACTAAAATTAACATAGTTGAATCAACAAAAGTTACCAAGGTTGTATCAACAAAAGTTAACATGGTTGTATTAACAAAAGTTAACAAGGTTATATTAAACAAAAGTTAACATTGTTATATTAACAAAAGTTAACAAGGTTGTATTAAACAAAAGTTAACAAGGTTGTATTAACAAAATCTAACAAGGTTGTATTAAACAAAAGTTACCAAGGTTGTATCAACAAAAGTTAACATGGTTGTATTAACAAAAGTTAACAAGGTTATATTAAACAAAAGTTAACATTGTTATATTAACAAAAGTTAACAAGGTTGTATTAAACAAAAGTTAACAAGGTTGTATTAACAAAATCTAACAAGGTTGTATTAAACAAAAGTTAACATGTTTGTATTAAACAAAAGTTAACAAGGTTGTATTAACAAAAGTTAACATGCTTATATTAACTAAAATTAACAAGGTTGTATTACACAAAAGTTAACATTGTTTTATTAAACAAAAGTTAACATTGTTATATTAACTAAAGTTAACAAGGATGTATTAACAAAAGTTAACAAGGTTGTATTAAACAAAAGTTAACATGGTTGTATTAAACAAAAGTTAACAAGGTTGTATTAACAAAAGTTTAAATGCAACGTTCTGACTACCTGAACCTAATCTTTTATTGTATTTTTCCTCAATAAAATCTTCTCATGCTTTTTCACACCCTGTAACCCCTTGCGTCTTAGTGGCATTGTCGCCTTGCTTGTGGTGAAAGATTAAAAATGCATAAAAATGAAATACCCACTTGAAAAAGGAAATTATAATCTCAAAATATATTCATGCTTTAAATAATCCCAAAATGACGATAAGACTAAAATGACGAAAAAAATTAATGTCTGAATAAATACTTGAGAATAGTTTAAAAGAAAGAAACGAAGAAAAAAGAGAGAAAGGAAGCAACTCAGGAAAAGAATGCAGCAATAAAAGTGGAAAAAGAACTAAAAGAAAAAGAAAGAAATGCTAACATTAGGAAGAATCAGACGAAAATGGTAAAAAGAAATAAAGGAAAAAGAATACTGGAATAAAAGTGAAAAACAAGAAGTAAAAAAGAAGAAGAAAGAGAGAAGAAAGCAAAAAGAATTCAAACTTTCGAAAGAATCAAATAAAAATGGAAAAAAGGAAATTGAAAACTAAGAAAGAAAGAAAGAAATAAAGTAAAAAAAAGAAAGAAAAAAGGAAAAAGAATGCAGTAATAAAAATGAGAAACAAGAAATACAAACAAAAGAAGAAAGAGAAAATAAACGTAAAAGAAAGAAAATAATAGGAAGAATCAATTTAAAATAGTAAAAAAAAATAGAAAACAAAAAAGAAACAAATAAAAAGTAAGGAAACACAATGTTGCAATAAAAAATAAGAACAAAAATTAAAAAGAAAGAAAGAAAAAATCATAAAGAAAGAAGACTATACGGAGAATCAAATGAAAAAATTTAAATGAAAGATGGCAAGAGGGATTTTGAATGGAAAGATAATGCCGCAATGAACGTGGACAACAAGAAGTAAATGAAAAAGAAGAAAGTGGGGAGAAAACAAAAAGAATGCAAACTTTAGGAAGAACCAAATAAAAATGGAAAAAAGAAAGAAAGAAAAATATTGCTGCAATAAAAGGGAAAAGCAAGAAATAAAAGAAAAAGAAGAAAAAGCGAAGTATTCAAAAGAATGCAAAGCATAGGAAGAATCAAATGAAAATGATAAAATAAAATAGGAAAGAAAGAAAGAAAAAAAAGAAAGAAAGAAAGAAAGAAAGAAAGAAATGAAAACGTATACCGCAATGAAAAAGAAGAAAAAAAACTTAGAGAAAAAAGAGAGATGCTACCAAATAGAATACTGACTTTCGGAAGAGTTAAATGGTAAAAAAGAAAGAATGAAAGAATAAAAGAAAGAAAGAAAGGAAGGAAAAAGAAAGAAAGAATAAAAGAAAGGAAGGAAGGAAGAAAGGAAGAAAGGAAGGAAGGAAAAAAGAACGCTTCAATAAAAGAGGAAAACAAGAACTAAAAGAAAAGTAGAAAAAGACAAGAAAGCGAAAAGAATGCAAATTATATGAAGTCTCAAGAGAAAATGGAAAATAAGAAAGAAAGAAAGTAGGAAATTGACAAAGAGAGAAAGAAAGAAGAAAAAGAAATGCTACAAAAATAAAAAAAGAAGAATTAAAAGAAAAAGAAGAGAGAAGAAACCAAAAATAATGCAAAATTTAGGAAGAATAAAATGAAAATGCTAAGACAAAAACCAGAAAGAATGACAGAAAGGAAAGGAAAGGGAATGTTGAAATAAATGTGAAAAAAGAACTAAAAGAAAAAGATAGAATGTTACAATGAACGGGAAAAAGAAGCAAAAGAAAAAGAAGAATGAAAAAATTAAAAAGAATGAAAACTCTAG